AATTAAATGTGAAAGGGGTTGTTTTTTGCAATAAAAACGTCAAATGGGTTGGTTTCGAAAATTTGTCCAACAGAATAATTACTGGAAACTTCTCGATTTTGACCTCCTCATGCTACTCGGGCCGCTGGAAACTCGTGTGTTTTTTAGAAACCGCGTTCCACTTACCTCGCCGACCACAAACCGACCATACCCTCAACCGACTTAAATCTCCTATTTAATGTACAGAACATCTCCACATTGTTTCTCGTCCTTTCCTTTTTTTTTTGGGTCGTTCTCTGGTAGCTTTCGATTTGAGGCCAGCTCTGTGTTCTTTTTTCGTTTCGTCGTGCGATTTCGATCTCGATCATGTATCCACTAATTATTCTGGAATTATTGATCCATGATATGTTAGGGCGATTTGGATGATACGTTAGGGGGATTTGGATCTCGATCTTGAATAATTTTAGGGCACTGATCGTTGTTGAGGTAGGATCTCAATTTTGGATCGATTTTATCGTTTTCTATTCTATTAATCTGACCTTTTTTGGTTTTTTGGTTGATATTTTAAAGATTAGATTTGGATCTTTAGTTTTCTGGTAACTTCTGATCACTGAATCTTCTGTTGATCTTAGATCAAACGATTTATTAGGTTTTTTTGGGTTGATTCTAACCTCTGACGGGTTATTGGCTCTTTAATTTTTATCGATCTCCTTATTTTGTTTTATGATGTCCGATTTAGATCTCGATCATGATTATTCTCTTTTATATTGATTTTACCGTTGTCTATGTCTCTGGCCTATCAGGTTTTGCCTATGATTTGCCAGCGCTGACCTTATCTTCTTCTTGTTTTGATTCATCTCGTGTTATTTGGATCTTTAATATATGTAAGGTACTGATTATTATGGAGTTAGGACTCTAGTTTTGCTTACGCTGACCTTATATTCTTTTTACTTATTTTGATTTGTCTTGTGCAGTTTGGATCTGGATGCCGAATGTATGTTGGATATCTATGTTAGATTGTTGTTCATCGAATTAACCGATCCTTTTCGTTAATATTTTACCATAAATTGGCTTAGTATTTTACCATAAATTGGTTAACTTGATCGTTGATTATTGGATAAACATGTGTTCTAATGCTAACTTCACAATCTTTCTACTTATTTTGTTTGTTCTTGTGCAATTTGGATCTCTATTTTAGATCAATTTCATCTATTTTTCTATTTTTCTTTTTTTTTGGGTGCCTGGCATGTTAAATATAAATGTGCTAACATTCTTATAACCATTCTATTTGTCGTGGCACTAATTCATAACTGTTATAATTATTTGGTATGCTATCGTTGAACTTATAACCGTCTAATTGTTTTGATTGTACTATAGGGTCCTGATTGTGCTGGAGTTAGATCTGTCTTTAGATCAGTTTTATCATTCTGTGCTCTGCTGATCTGACTTCTTTTGTGTGCTGGAGTTAGATCTGTCTTTAGATCAGTTTTATCATTCTGTGCTCTGCTGATCTGACTTCTTTTGGTTGTACCTTAATTGGATCCCAAACACACAATTCTTGGGGTATCTGGTATGTTAACGCGACTTCTTTTGGTTGTACCTTAATTGGATCCCAAACACACAATTCTTGGGGTATCTGGTATGTTAACGCCGACCTTATGTGATTTGGTCGTTCTTGGACATGCTTAGGGCATTGCTCGCTGTTGATATTTTCAGATGGTTAAGGGGATTAGTCCTGGTAGTAGTGCTGCCGTTGATTCTGATAGGTGTTCTATGGTTTTGATATACCAGATTGAAGATCATTTCCTGAGCAGTCTTGAGATATGTACTGTAAGATTTTTGGTGTCCAACTTAGGCACTGTATGATTTTTTCTGTCCAATTCTTCTTTTATGAATTTTGATCTGGTAGATGGCAAGGAATAGGTTTCTTTTCAATTTGGAAGCTTCGGTTCGAAGAGTGGCCGTGGACAGTATCTGGTACATACCTTTGGTTAGCTTAACTGTAAGTTGGTCGGTTCAGTTCAGTTCAGTTCTGTGATTGATAACGGTATTTTAAGCTAATTCTCTAGTCCTTTGATTAGTCTGCCTGAAGCAATGCACAAGTTTATGTACAGAGTCGTTTCAATTTTCTTCTTCCTTATTCTCAGAAGATTAGTTTATGTCTTGAGGACTTGATATTTTTTTAGAGAGCAACCTTGGCTTAGGCAGTGTAAGTTCTGGTTTTGATCAGCCGGACGAAGAAGAATATCTTTATCATCATTTTGGACTTCTGTTTTCAATAATAGGAAGTTCGGATGTTAAGTGGCACCGCTAGCTTTTTGTTTCCATATGCTTTACGCTTTCTCATCGCAAGTTAAATGATAGAAAGTTTGGGGCATTAGTTGACTGACACTGCAAGTTTTTTTGTTTGTCTATGCTTTACGTGTTTACATCGCAAGTTTGTTTCTCTTCACCTCGATACTTCTAATCTGTTAGATGGTGAAGAACAATTTTTTTTCATTAGTGAGGTTCTCGTTTCAGAAATCGTGAAGAATATCTTTTATGGGGCAAGCTTGGGCTAGATGCTATCTGTTTTCTGTTGCCCAATAAATTTTTTTTATCGTCGTCTTTGATTTTGATTTTGACGAATAATATTTGCAAGTTATGGTCAGGGCTCAAATCTTTTAAGGAACAACCTTCCATATGGCGATGTAAGTTCTCTGTTGCCGAGTTAACCTAGCATGGTTTTGATTCAGCAGATTATCTCGTTAATTTTTAGGAATTGGTTTCAAAATGCTCTGAGGACTTCATCGTTAACAAAGCAAACTTACGTTACGCACTACCAGTTCTTTTCTGTTTGGACTACTTCGGCTATGGTTTTGAGCTGCCAGATTGTAGAATAGTTTGCATCAGGTAGGAGTTCTGGAGTTCTGGTTTAATCAACAAGATCGTAACAATAAATTGTTCGTCTTTTATCATTATTTGTTTCATTTCCTGCCTCACTAGGTTTCTTGTTCATTTATCGTGATTCTTTTTGGGATCTTTGACATTATGTCTTATTAGATGGATGAAGGGTGGCATAATGCACTGATTTTGGCTTATGTTCTATATTCCATTGGTTTGTTCTATTGGTTTGTTGTATGGCTCTGATTTTCCAGACTGTGGAGTAGAGAGCAATCCAGATGGTCTTGAGGACTGGAGATTATTTATGGAGCAATCTGGAGTTGGGCACTGTAAGGGTTTTGTTTTGCATTTCTGCTTTTATCGCTTCAAACTTATCAGGTGATAGAATAGCTTGATTTTCAGTTTGGAAGTTTCCGTTTCAAGAAGTCTGAGGACCATAGAAACTTTGGTTTTCTTAACTGCAAGTTGTTCTATTGGGAAATAGTTTTCATACTGGGATCTGTTTAGTTCAGTTCTCTGATTTGGTTGACACTAAATTATGGTGAGTCCATATTATTTGAAGCACATACTAGATGCCAGTTCCTTTAGTGGTCTTTGCAGTATTTTAAAGCTAGCTTCTGCAGATCATAGTTTCTTTATTGGTCTTTGCAGTATTTTAAAGCTGGCTTCTGCAGATTCCCTTGATTTTTTTTGTCTTCGCGGTTTTTCAAAGCTAGCTTCTGCATATTCCTTTAATTTGTTTGTGTGAATTAATCCACCTTGATTTCGCGTACAGACAGTTGTTTCCAAAATTTTCCTTAATTCTCAAAAACTAGTTTATATTTTGAGGACGTGATGTTTTTTAGAGAGAAGACTTTGCTTTGGCACTGTTTGTCTTTTGTTGCACAATACTTCTACGGTTTTGATCGGCCAGTTGATGACGAACAACGATATTGTCATTTTGGGGTTTTGCTTTCAATAATAGAAAGTTTGCGCTGTAAGTCTTTCGTTTCTCTAAATTTCTTTTGTGTTTCTAAAATGTATGTTTTTGTTTCTCTGTAGTTCTATGCTTTCGAGCCGTCAGATTCATTGTGATTCATGAGTTCATCTTCTTTGAAGAATAATATTTGCAAGTTACGGTCAGGGCTCAAATATTTTAAGGAACAACCTTCCATAAGACGATGTTAGTTCTCTGTTGCCCAGTAATCCTGGCATGGTTTTGATTCAGCAGATTATCTCGTTAATTTTTAGGAGTGGGTTTCATAATGCTCTGAGGACTTCATCATTAACAAAGCAAACTTAGGTTATGCACTACCAGTTCTTTTTTGTTTGGACTACTTCGTCTATGGTTTTGAGCTGCCAGATTGTAGAGTAGTATGGATCAGGTAGTAGTTCTGGTTTAATCAACAAGATCGAAACAATAAATTGTTCATCATTTATCATTATTTGTTATTTGTTTTATTTCCTGCCTCGCTAGGTTTCTTGTTCATTTATCGTGATTTATTTGGGATCTTTGACAGTGTCTTATTAAATGGATGAAGGGTGGCGCTATATGAAACTACATTTCATGTTAAACCTGTGTACAGGATCAGAAGTTGATAGTCGTTATTCCAATATTTTATATATGACATTCTGTTTACTTTCATATAAACTATGAATGAAAAATATAAATTGTGGCCATAACTTGTAACAACCTAGAAAAAATTTGATAAACATGAATTTTGTTACAAGTTCTGGTAATCATCTTTTTCAGAAACCATATGGACCTATGATTGTGGCTACATTTTCATGTTTAACTGTGTATCAGGTCCGAAGTTTAGTATGTGGCTATGTCATGATTTTTCAAATATGAATTCTGTATATTTCATAAAAACTATGAATAAAAACATATAATTGGGGCCATAACTTGTAAAACTGCATTAGATTGATAAGCATGATTTTTGTAAAAATTATATTATTGTGGCCATAATAAACTATGAATGAAAAGCATATAATTGTGGCTAAATACTTGTAACAACTTTTAGTCAATGAGTTTTGTAAATAATAATTGTGGCCATAAGCAAACTTGTACAACTCTTTTAGAAAATAATTGATAAACATGAATTTGTTGTTACAGGTGTGGTATCATCTTTTTCAGAAACGCATGATGTCGTCTATGATTGTGGCTATAATTTGTTAACAACTTTAGAAAATAATTAACATGAATTTTTGTTACAAGTTGTGGTGTCATCTAAAGATGATAGGACTGCCGCTATGTTACTACGGGTTCTCCTATCAGGAAGCCGTACCTGTACCGCGATACGATCCCGACATGCATCACAATTTTTTCAAATACAATGATACTCAATATAGCGATATTTTTTTAAACGGATGATCATTTATTAAAATACTTGTCAAACACTCTCCCAGGTGTCTCTTTTTCTCTATAAGTGGGGTATGTTAAGCTGATCTTAAGAGTCACTGACGTGCAGTTTTACAGTTTTTAAGCCCGAAGGAACTTGCTCTGGAAAACATTGAAACTATGCATTGTGGAAATTTGGTTTAACTTTAGATGTAAGTTAATCCATGATCAGTTTATCCTAAAAATATGATCCTTGCCTCAATGGTGCTGAATGTTGTAGTTTCTTCATTGATAAGTACAGTGGTTGTAGATCGTCTAGGCAATAGCTTCATAAATTATCATAGTTGTTGTAGCATCCCTGGCCAATAGAGAATTGATTTTCGTTGTACTGATATGTATGTTAACATTTATGAATTAATCAAAATAACGGGCACTAGGGTAAGTGAAGTTCTTGTAATGGAAGACGAAAAAGGAAGCACTACTCTACATAAATTTATTGTTTGCTAGTATTGATTTTTCTTGTAGTACTAAGAGGCTATGTTACTTGGGTAAGATATCTACCAACACGTACATGAATCATACTGAAACTTCTTGGCTTCTTGAATATAATACATACATTTATTCACATTTATTGCAGACGTATGCTCGATTATATAACAATATGTTTTAATTGAAATACCAACTTGTTGGGTGTATATTCTTGAATATATGATACATTTATTTAGGCGTATGCTGATTATAATAAGATACATGTTAATTTGAAATGCTATTCCTCCTATCCAATGGGGAGAATATCACTATGTCATGCTACAGGAAAGCTACTGTATAAATGTAAAACGGAACACCATTTTAAAAAATTATGTGTGTGACGGAGCAGGAAATACTGTTGGCAATTAATTCAAAAATGAACGGGATTACTGTAGTGGGGGAAAAATATGTCATGCTTTGCACGGGTGTTCACACTAGTGGACCCACACTTTCACGTCATTTTTTTTATAGATAAGTCTTATGTAAAATGAAAAATAATCATTGATCTTATGTAAATTATAGGATTTTAATACAAATATATACATAACATACATGTATATAGTCGTGTTCGCGTCCTTAAACTTTAACGAATTTTTGTCCTATACGCCCATACCCGTACCCATAGGGCAACTTAGATTAAGAGACATTCATTTTGTATGCAAGTTGTGGTATGACGGCACATGTGCTAGGTAACGCAGTAGATAATGCAGCTTAGGGCCGCAATTCAATCGGATTGAGAAGTATTGCAGGTATTTACTTTAATGTGGTTCATCGGGTTTATGGACTGGGGCCTAGATAACTGTCAAATTGCAATCACTAGATAACTTGCAGGTTGGAGAAACTAAGGTCGCGTTGTAGTTCTCTGTAGAAAATGATCTGGACAAAATACGTACTTGTGAAAATTTGACTTCTAACGACATTTAAGAGAACTCACGTACATTTTGTGGCTCTCTGAATGGGCTAAAATTTTGGTTGTAATGCAAGTGCTATCTTTCTGTCTTCTGTTTTAATATCCTATACATTTTTTTCCGAAATCCTTCACCTTGTACCACGGCTGATTGGCTGCTTGAGGCAGACTAATTTATAGGAGTGTTCTACAGGGAAGCCCCAATCAATGGGACCCAGGGGGGACAGGTGTCAACCCCTGGGTGTATGATCTACTCTGTTCATGAATAATAGATCATGCACCCTGGGGTGACACCTCATCATGTCCCCCTTGGGTCCATATTTTGGGGTCCCCAAGGAATTTTCAAAATTGAACAAAATTTTCAAAAACAGCCCAATCTTAAGTTTTATTTTTAAAATCGACCGGTTATTTATTTATTTATCAAACCGAACATCCGATTTATGATTAACCGCGCGGCTAATCACCTTTCCTAATAGTCGGTTGAGCACCCCGACTGATCTTAGAGCCTTAATTTTTTGTGTTTAAGGCATTAATCAGGGTTTAAATACCCTCCTAAATAGTCGGGTGCCAACCCGACTATTAAGGATGGTGATTGGCTGTTAATCAAAATCGGATGCGGTTTGGTAATAAAAAAAAAACAGTCGATTTTAAAAAATAAAACTCTAAAGGGTCTATTATGAAAATTGTTGCTTATTCAATTTATAGTTTACTGCACAGGAGTTGCATGTCAGCTTATCTCAGTTCAACTTTTCCCTGTCCTTGTGTTTCTTTCTCGGTTGTCACACTCTTTGCACTGTCGTCAACTTTGTCGCTTTCTATCTACATGAAATGCTTTTTTGACTTCTGGCCACAACTACTTGGAACATGATTTCTTTCTCTTTGAGGCCAAGACTTCTTGGTTGGTAAAGCTGGAGGCTTATATTACATTTATTTTAAGTTATCAGAATATTTTTTTGTATTATTGAATGAAATTTTCTATAAAATCTGAAAAAGTTTCTTCTAATAGTTCCAATAAAATTTTGAGACATTCTTTTAATAGTCTATTTTGAGAAGTTTGCTTTTAATAGTTTCGCTATAAATTTAAGAAAGCTTCTTCTGATAGTTTTTATCTTCAAATTTGTTCTGTTGATTTGATTTGTAGGTTTTTTGTGTTATATTTATCTTAGTGTTTTTAAATGTTGCTTATTTTGATCTCTATACTTGTTCACAGTATCAGATGGGGCTGGTTGTAGATTGTAAGACTTGGCACCCTAGATGGTAAAAAAGCTAGCTTTTGTTCTTATATATATATGTTCTTTGTTGTCTGTTCTATGGTTGCGATCCACACGGGTTAAATTATTTAGGCTGCCCCAAGATTTCAGACATTGGAGGTGTTGTACAATCTCGGTCTTTGTTAGGCACCTGTAAGTAGTTTAACCCCCTATAATTATCAACACTGAATTTGTATTAATTTAGTTTATATTTATGCAATTATCATTATAGTAGTTTGTTTCGACGAATATAATGACGCTCAACAAGTGTCGTAGGAAGCTTGCCCTCACAAGAACTCTGTTTTGAGCCACATGCTTATATAAGGTGGGGGTAAAAGAAGGGTGTCAAAAGTCCTTTTGTTTTTCTCTTATTTGTATCTCTCCTTCCTCCTCCACTTAATTGCCAGCAATTAAAATTGAGATACGTATATTCTCAATTCAATACAAAATATGATAATATTATTAAAAATCATTATAACATTCTAAATTTAATATATAATGTATCTAACGAGCATTACATTAAGAAATTATTACAAAATCAGAACATTAGGAACTAAAGGGGAGCATTTTGAAAATGAGTTTTGTTGGCATAATTTCGTATTGGGATTTGTTCATTCATTTCTGTGATTGCTTGACGCTATCATCATTGGGAGTTAGCACACTAATTGAGGCGAGCACATACTGGATAATATAATTTTTAGTAGCCTTTGCAGTCTTTAAGCAGGCAAACTTCCTCCATATTCCCTTGGTATTTTACAGAGCAAAAACTTCGCATTAAGACACTGCAACAATGTTCCTCTGTGGTTGGGCTAGGTGATGAAGAATAGCTTTATTGGAGCGTTAATTATTAGAAGCTCTATTTGTTAGTTTGATAGTTTTTATTGTCATTTTGGAGTTTGCTTCATACTAAAAACTCTGCTTGTTTAGTTGACACTAAGTTTTTTTGTTTCCCTATATACTTTTCGGCTTTAAATTGTATGTTTTTTCTATAACTTTTTTATTACAAGTTTTTTTCTATTTCAGGTTGATCAGCGAGATTGATTTCATTATGGTTTGACACTAGAAGTGTTTTTCCTATTATTTTCTGTTCTGCTTTTGAACGAGTAAGCTTTTTATTATACTTCTATGTATTACCTTAAAATGGCTTATTTGATCTCAAATTAAGGTAAATGTATGTTAAGTTCTAACCGGTTTTCGTAATTGTTCTAGTTTGCTTTGTTATCCTTGTGCAATTTGGATCTTAATCTGAATATAGTTAATTCAGCTGATGTGGAATTTGGATCTCTATTTTAGATCAATTTTTATCTAATTTTTAGGGGCATACTAACAATATTTAACCTTTATAGGCTATTCTAAATTATTATTGGTGTGCCTAATTTTTAATATTGACGAATAACCATCTTAAGTTACAACCTGTTTTGGTTATTATCTTATTTTTAGGTAATGTGTTGTGCTAACGTTGACCTTTATGACGGTTCTACTATAACTGTTCTAAAATAATCTGTGCTGGGCTACAATTAACTTGTAAACCGTTCTAATATAATTTGATTATACTTGGGGCTTTGCTGACGCTGACATTTACAACTGTTCTACATTATAACAGTTCTAATATTCTGTGTGTGGCTAACAATGACCTTATACTGTTTCTAATTATTTGATTATACTTGGGACATTGATTATTTTTGGAGCTTGGATGTCTCTTTTAGATTTGATTTTGGGATCTACTTATCAACATTCTTTTGCGTTGATATTTTAGCTTAGGATCAGCGGACTGGACATCCAATTTATTGGCGGTATCTGGTAGCTACGGCTGACTTAATAATTGTTGCTAATTTTTTTCCCATCTTGTGCCATTTGGTTCGCTCTTAATCCACTCTTAGGAGCACTGATTGTTCATGGTTAGTATCTCGATTTCAGATTGATTTTACGTTCTTTAATTTGTTTCGCTCCTTGTGGCCATTTGGTTGCTCTTGATATGCTTAGGACACTGATTGTTCCATGGTTAGTATCTCAATTTCCATATTGATTTTAAATCGTTATTCGTTTGCTGTCTGGCCGTCACTGGTTTATGGTCATTGTTAGTTGGACAAGATAATTGTTTCAGCTGAAACGAAGAATGAAATGAAATGAGTTCAGAAAAGTGATAGTTAAGAAGTTAGGTTGAATCAATAATGAAATAGGACTTTAGATTGTGCTGTTAATTGTGCTGTTAATTGATACAGAGAACTCTCTGGGGTGGGGTCGTCTGTTCATGTGGAGATTAAGAATGTAATGAATAGCAGCTCCGGTGGTAGGAAGATGTTGATTTACTTTCTTGTTATCAGAAGATTATCCAGTTGTTGATTTACTTTCTTGTTATCAGAAGATTATCCAGTTGATGACCCGGATTAGGCAGCCTAATTGATCACTGAGATCTCTGCTTTCCTCACCTAAATCATATCCAGTTGATGACCCGGATTAGGCAGCCTAATTGATCACTGAGATCTCTGCTTTCCTCACCTAAATCATGCCAGTTTGGCATGGGCATTTTTGCGGATCTTCTCGGTATGTTTGTTTGGTGACCTTTCAACTAATTTTTCAGGTTTGATTTTCTATATTCTGTGGTCTGGAGCTTTGTTTGCATGAGATAGATTTTGAAATCACAGTGGCTACCTTTTTCTGTGGTTAAGAGTTCGGTGGTTGATATTCTACTGTTTGATATGTGAGATCAGCGTTCTTTTCATATCTGATTTTTGCACTGTCGGTTCTGTATTCGAGAATCATGTCCCCGCTAAAGGGCTTGAAGCTGATATGATATCTACTACTACTATTGGTTAGTGTTGGACTTTCGGTTTGGGAGAGGTGCTTTGGTACTGTTGAACCTTCTATTCTGCTAATATCTGAGGGATGTATCACTTGCTTGGTCTGGTCTATGTTGAGGGTGGTATCTTATTATGTCAACGGGGGTTCGACAGCCATTATTATGTCAACTGGGCTTAGACAGCCATTGGAAGTTCATTCTGGTATATTAAGGTCACGCCCCTCTTAATTTTTAATAAATGGAAAAACAAATTTATGTGGTCGAAGGGCATAAAGACATTCATGATTAAGTTGCACAAGATTCCGTTCGAAATTATTCTCTTGTGCTTCTATAAGACAATTCATGATTAAGTTGGACAAGAATCAATTAGAAATTATTCTCTTATCTTGTGCTTACAGAAGCATATGCCTTACTAAAGGGAGAAATTTAGAAGGGTGAAGAGCATGGAGACTGTCATAGTTTAGCAGCATGGGAAATCCGTTCTGGTAGACAGCTACTAGGGTTATATCCTTGAGTTGTGGAATTAGAAATCAGAAGAATTAAAATCATCATGTACAGCAGTAGTCCAGGTGGACCATTCAATTGAGGGTGTCAAGTTTCTACATGAAGAATTAAAATCATCATGTACAGCAGTAGTCCAGGTGGACCATTCAATTGAGGGTGTCAAGTTTCTACATGAAGAATTAAAATCATCATGTACAGCAGTAGTCCAGGTGGACCATTCAATTGAGGGTGTCAAGTTTCTACATGAAGAATTAAAATCATCATGTACAGCAGTAGTCCAGGTGGACCATTCAGTTGAGGGTGTCAAGATTCTACATGTTAAGTTTTCCCATGTAGCGACATTATGTGGTGACTTCAGTGAGTTTTTTGTGAACTTTTATGTAGACTTGGCATCAGGTTGATGTCCATTTGTAATGCAACATTTAAACATATGATTGTGAAAGTCTATTTTTCATTCAACATTCATGGGTTATTTGGCATTATCTTTGTATTTTCCCTTGTTTTCTGCAGAGTTCACTTTTTCTAGTTTCCTGTTTTGCCTTCATTTCTTGGCGTTTCTCTTCTATGCTAGTTTTAGTATCCACACTTACAATTTTGCCATTTCTATTATTACATTATCTTTGTAGCTGTGCCTTGTTCTTTCTTGTTCTGTTTGGAGTTTTGTTGATTAGGTTTTGTTCTGTTTATATATAGTTTCTTCTGTTTATGTGAATTTGTAGTAGTACTTCAATAGGTGAGATGGATTATCTTTGTAGAAACTATTACCAGTTCTAATAATTTCTCAAGGATTCCTCCTTTGGATCACAGCAATTTATGGCGACTTCTTGCTATTAATATTCATTTGTGTTTGAACGTCTTAAGTTCCATACTTTCTAAATGCCATTAAAATCAGAGCATGTATTGATACTTGTATTTAGGTAAAAAAACTACATTTCATGTTAACTGTGTATCAGGTCAGAAATTGATAGTGTTATGTCATGATTTTTCAGTAAACTCCTTTTCTAAGTGTCATTAAAATCAGAGCATGTATTGATACTTGTATTTAGGTAAAAAAAAAAACTACATTTCATGTTAACTTTGTATCAGGTCAGAAATTGATAGTGTTATGTCATGATTTTTCAGTAAAATCCTTTTCTAAATGTCATTAAAATCAGAGCATGTATTGATACTTGTATTAGGTTAAAAAACTACATTTCATGTTAACTGTGTATCAGGTCAGAAATTGATAGTGTTATGTCATGATTTTTCAGTAAACTACATTTCATGTTAACTGTGTATCAGGTCAGAAGTTGATAGTGTTATGTCATGATTTTTCAATATGACATTCTGTTACTTTCATATAAACTATGAATGAAAAAATATATAATTGTGGCCATAACTTGTAACAACTCTTAGAAAATAATTGATAAACATGAATTTTTGTTACAAGTTCTGGTATCATCTTTTTCAGAAACCATATGACCTATGATTGTGGCTACATTTCATGTTAACTGTGTATCAGGTCCGAAGTTTATAGTGCTATGTCATGATTTTTCAATATGACATTCTGTTACTTTCATATAAACTATGAATGAAAAAACATATAATTGGGGCCATAACTTGTAACAACTCTTAGAAAATAATTGATAAGCATGAGTTTTTGTAAAAATATATTATTGTGGCCATATAAACTATGAATGAAAAAACATATAATTGTGGCCATAACTTGTAACAACTTTTAGAAAATAATTGATAAACATGAGTTTTTGTAAAAATATATAATTGTGGCCATAACAACTTGTAACAACTCTTAGAAAATAATTGATAAACATGAATTTTTGTTACAGGTTGTGGTATCATCTTTTTCAGAAACCATATGTCCTATGATTGTGGCTATAATTTGTAACAACTTTTAGAAAATAATTAACATGAATTTTTGTTACAAGTTGTGGTGTCATCTTTTTAAGAAAGCATCTGCCGCTATGTTACTCGGGTTCTCCTATCAGGAAGCCGTACCTGTACCCGATACGTACCCGACATGCATCACATTTTTTCAAACATATACTCAATTATGCGATATTTTTTTAAACTTAAAATACTTGTCAAACACTTCCCTCCCAGGTGTCTCTTTTTCTCTATAGTGGGGTATGTTTAACCTGATCTTAAGAGTCATCTTGTGCAGTTTTAGTTTTTAAGCCCGAAAGGAACTTGCTCTGGAAAACATTGAAACTATGCATTGTGGAATTTTGGTTTAACTTTAGATGTAAGTTAATTCCATGATCAGTTTATCCATACAAATATGATCCTTGCCTCAATGGTGCTAATGATTGTAGTTTCTTTCATTGATAGTACAGTGGTTGTAGATCGGTTCTAGCAATAGCTTCATAAATTATCATAGTTGTTGAGCATCCCTGGCCTGAGATTGATTTTCGTTGTACTGATATGTATGTTAACATTTATGAATTATCAAAATAAACGGCACAGGGTAAGTGATAGTTCTTGTAATGGAAGACGAAAAAGGAAGCACTACTCTACATTAAATTTATTGTTTGCTAGTATTATTTTTCTTGTAGTACTAGAGGCTATGTTACTTGGGTACTTCTACCAACACGTACATGTAATCATACTGAAACTTCTTGGACACTTCTTGAATATATACATACATTTATTCACATTTATTCAGACGTATGCTCGATTATATAACATATGTTTTAATTGAAATACCACTTGTTGGGTGTATATTCTTGAATATATGCATACATTTATTTAGGCGTATGCTCGATTATATAATACATGTTTAATTTGAAATCTATTCCTCTATACACATGGGAGAATATTCACTATTCATGCTACAGGAAATGCTACTGTAGTAAAATGTAAAACTGGACACCATTTTTAAAAAAATTACTGTAGAGCATGTGCAGCGGAGGCAGGATACTGTTGCAATTAAAAATTCAAAAATGAATCGGGATTACTGTAGTGGGGAAAAATATGTCATGCTTTGCACGGTGTTCACACTAGTGGACCCACACTTCACGTCTATTTTTTTTATATGTTAATCTTATGTAAATGAAAAAAGAACATTGATCTTATGTAAATTATTAATTTTAATACAAATATATACATAACATACATGTATATAGTCGTGTTCGCGTCCTTAACTTTAACGAATTTGTTGTGTCCTATACCCATACCCGTACCCATGCAACTTAGATTAGAGGACATCATTTTGTATGCAAGCATATACTCCTATTGATTTTCTTTGCACGTGCACATGTGCATACAGGTAACCAGTAGATAAATTGCACTTAAGCCCAATTCATCGGATTGAGAGTATTGGCAGGTATTTCTTTAATGTGGTTCATGGGTTTATGGACTGGGGCCTAGATAACTGTCAAATTGCAAATCATGATAACTTGCAGGTTGGAGAAACTAAGGTCCGTTGTAGTTCTCTGTAGAAAATGATTGGACAAAATAGTACTTGTGAAAATTTGACTTCTAACGACATTTAAGAGAACTTCACGTACAGCTTTTGTTGCTCTCTGAATGGGCTAAAATTTTGGTTTATGCAAGTTGCTATCTTTTCTGTCTTCTGTTTTATATTCTATACATGTTTTTCGAATCCTTACCTTGTACCGGCTGAGTTGCTCTGTGAGCAGACTAATTTATAGGAGTTGTTCTACAGGGACCCCAAATCATGGGACCCAAGGGGGGACAGGTGTCAACCCCTGGGTGTATGATCTACTGTTCATGAATAATAGATCATGCACCCTGGGGTTGACACCTCACATGTCCCCCTTGGGTCCCATTATTTGGGGTCCCCAAGGAATTTTTCAATTTGAACAAATTTTCAAAACAGCCCAATTTAGAGTTTTATTTTTTAAAATCGACCGGTTATTTATTTATTTATCAAAACCGACCCGATTTTATGATTAACCGGCTAATCACCTTCCTAAATAGTCGGGGTTGGCAACCCCGACTATTTAGGACCTTAATTTTTTGTGTTTAAGGCATCTAATCAGGGTTTAATACCCTCCTAAATAGTCGGGGTTGCCAACTCCGACTATTTAGGATGGTGATTAGGCTGTTAATCACAAAATCGGATCGGTTTTGGTAAATAAAAAAAAAACAGTCGATTTTAAAAAATAAAACTCTAAAGGGGTCTATTTTGAAAAATTGTTCTTTTCAATTTATAGTTTATGCACAGGAGTTGCATGTCAGCTTATCTCAGTTTCAACTTTTCCCTGTCTTGTGTTTCTTTCTCGGTTGTCACACTCTTTGCACTGTCTCAACTTTGTCGCTTTCTATCTACATGAAATGCCTTTTTGACTTCTGGCCACAACTACTGGAACATGATTTCTTTCTCTTTGTAGGCCAAGACTTCTTGGTTGGTAAACTGGAGGCTTATATTAATTTATTTTTAAGTTATCAGAATATTTTTTTGTATTATTGAATGAAATTTTCTATAAAATCTTGAAAAGTTTCTTCTAATAGTTCCAATAAAATTTTGAGAAGTTTCTTTTAATAGTCTATTTTGAGAAGTTTCTTTTAATAGTTCCTATAAAATTTTTAGAAGCTTCTTCTGATAGTTTTTATCTTCAAATTTGTTCCTGTTGATTTGATTTGTAGGTTTTTTGTGTTATATTTTATCTAGTGTTTTTTAAATTGTTCTTATTTTGGATCTCTATACTTGTTTCACAAGTACAGATGGTGGCTGGTTGTAGATTGTATAGACTTGGCACCCTAGATGGTAAAAAAGCTAGCTTTGTTCTTATATATAATATGTTCTTTGTTGGTCTGTTCTATGGTTGCGATCCACACGGGTTAAAATTATTTAGGCTCCCAAGATTTCTGAGGACTTGGAGGTGTTGTACAAATCGGTCTTTGGTTAGGCACTGTAAGTAGTTTAACCCCTATAATTATCAACACTGGAATTTGTTTAATTTAGTTCTATATTTATCATTATCATAAGTAGTTTTTGTTTCCCAATATTAATGACCTCAACAAGTGTCGTAGGAAGCTTGCCCTCACAAGACTCTGTTTGAGCCACATGCTTATATAAGGTGGGGGTAAAAGAGGGTGTCAAAAGTCCTTTTGTTTTTCTTCTTATTTGTTCTCTCTCCCTTCCTCCCTCCACTTAATTGCCACAATTAAAATTGAGATACGTATATCTCAAATTCAATACAAAATATGATATATTATTAAAATCATTATAAACATTCTAAATTTATATATAATGTATCTAACGCATTACATGAAGAAATTATTACAAAATCAGAACATTAGGAACAAGGGGACATTTTGAAAATAGTTTTGTTGGCAAATAATTTCGTATTGGGATTTGTTCAATTCATTTCTGTGATTTGTTGACGCTATATCATTGGGAGTTCGCACACTAATTGAAGCACATACTGGATAATATAAATTTTTAGTAGCCTTTGCAGTCTTTAAGAGCAAACTTCTCCATATTCCCTTGGTATTTTACAGAGCAAACTTCGCTTAGACACTGCACAATGTTTCCTCTGTGGTTGGCTAGGTGATGAAGA